TAGTACAGCTTTGAGATGTCTTAAATCTAAAAACTGTTCATTTAAAGTGACAGTTGACTTTATTTGTACATTTTGTGCTATAACCCTTTATCCAAGACGCTCAGAAAAAAAAATGTTTGGAGGCTGTTGCCCCCACTTAAAGTGCAATCCAAGTATCTGCAATCCAAATTGTCACCTGGCATGAAAATCTCTGCTACCACTGTAAACCCCTGTTTCTTACTTCTGCTGTGTTTTGACTTGCTGATGAATGGAAGAGGCCTGATCTCCTGTGTGATGATGGTTAACTTTGCTACAATGGGTGGATTCTTCTGGCTTTGCTGTCTTCCCCTCTTCCTGACATCATCAGCCAAAGGGAAGAATCCCATCCCATTGGAATATGTTATGGAGGGTGGGGCGGGGCTTGAGGTCTTAATCATGATCTCTGTCATTTCCCCCATATAAAGACAAAAGTTAATATTACAGGATTTATAATTGCACAAATGCTCAGAAACTCCCCGCCCCAAAGAATGACATACTAAAAAAAACACAAAAAACCAGCCAGTCTAGAGCTCGTGTGCAGTTCCTGATTTGCACTATGACCATGCTCAAGCCACAATTTCTATACTTCCCACACACCCCACACTCCTTATCCTCACTAAGCTATAGAGTTCAGATAAGCTGATGAGTTCTGTATGGCCAAGAAAGAGGGCAGAGACCAGCACTGTTAGAGACCTGTGGAGGTGACTGTTTCTGGTGAAACCAGACTCTTCTACACGCTCACAGCCTTCTTCGCTGCCCTTATCGCAAGCAAAGCAGAATAAGGAATGACAGCAAATGAAGACTGCTCAGGAACTGGAGTGAAGATGAAGGATTGTCTGTGAAACTGAGATTTTACTCCAAATGACACAATTTATGGCAAAAACATAATTGCATAAATTATTTACATTGTTATAAACAGTTTAGATTCAGGTTTAGTAGACCTTCAGGTTTAATGGACACCCGGTTCCCCTGAGTGGTCCATTTAATCAAAGGTTTTCTGGCCTATACTGTACTAGTTCACTGAAGAATTAGTCTTGATGCCAAATCAAAATGGAAAGCGCTGTGACATTCTGAGAAGAACTGAAAGAAAAGGCATTTGTTGTTGCCATACTCTATGATTTATTCATTGCAATCTAAATCAACTTGAAAGGCAGTATAATATATCTCACTGCTCTTGAGCACAAATATCTATTTCTCTTGTCAACCCAACAAGATTGAGTGTCAAGAACAGGAAATGATTGTCAAACACAACTTTTTTTCATTGTTTTTAAGTATCTGCTTATTTTTAAACCAACCACATTTGTTTACTGTTTTTGATTTCCGAAGTCTAGAGATCTGGATTTACTCAAACTAGGCCCCAGTTCTTTCATTTCTGTATATTTTTCATGAATTCCAAACATTCCATTTAATTCCACTGCATCCTCGTGTCAGGAAATGCCTGGTTCTTCCATCTTTTAAAGTTCCTCATTCCTTCACTCTTTAGATCATTATAGGCCTGTGCAGTTACAAAAGATTATCCTGGACTGTTTAGTTCATACCAAAATTTAGAATAGCATATATCTTTCTTACATTAAATGAGCACATCATTTTAAACCATCTCCCAGAAATCAATTTCTTTTTGTGACAAAATAAAATAGAAATTGACATTTCTTCACTGTCTGGTATTTTCTAATAAGAACTCCAATTTGGCTTATTTTTTTTTATTGTAATGGTACAATAGCTGTTTCCTGCATTCTTACAGCACTGAAATACCTTTTCAGTAACTGAAGTATACTGTATGTGTCTCAATATGCACATATTCATTTTATTGCTGTGATATTTTTACTGTTTGATCACTTATAATAAGCTTAATAGGATTAAATTCTTGAGGTTTGTGTTGGTGTTGATTGTAGAATACAGGTTAATCGGGGGGGTGGGGGGGAGAGGGGAAATGGTCAAGACACGTTGGAGGTTTGCATCCAAAAGCCGTATTAGAATTCAATGATGGCATGCATATTTATTTGATTTCCAAAAGGATATCAGCTATATAGCCTGTCTTTACCATACAGATCAAAACTTTAAAAATAGAAACTGAATAATAGTTGTTAACAGAGCTGTACTACTTCATGGAATTTAGGTTCTATCATGTAGAAAAATTATAAAATATCTGAAGAGTAATTATTAGAAAACATCAGTTGACATCAGTTTTAAAAATAAATATGATTTCTTCTTCACAAGGGTAATAACTTTCATTGAACATAAATGACTAAAATGACTATACTTCCTAAAGTCCTATTTTACTTCAGATATTCCCATCCATTTCTTCTATTTGGTTTTATGTTTGACAAAGTCTTCATTCATTTCTAGCATTCTTTCTTGGTCTTCCAGACCTTGCCTTTACTTACATCTATTCCATATAATTTCCATTTTTCTCACAATGGTTTTGATAGTTGAAATTGCTAGCTAGAAATGTTTAGGAGGGTTTTTTTTTACAGCTTTCATATTACCTTCATTTATAGGTGTTCTGAGAACTGATTAGAAGAGCCCATGGTTGTTAAAGTAGACAGAATAACAATCACAATCTGAAAGATTAGAAGGGGCAAAGAATTTGTTCACATCTTTATGTGGCTAATTATTAACCTAAAAGAATCAATCACCTTTTTAACCTTATTAATAGGTTTACAGTAAAGAAAGTAAAGTTTACAGTAAAGAAATAAAAGAAAAATTACATTGAATGAATTTGAAGGGTGCCCAAACTTCTATACTTACCATATTCTCTATTTTCTTATTTTGAACCTGTAATTAGCTAGGCAAAAATAATAAGTATGATATTAAAATATGCACAAAGATGTTGTGTTGAACTTTGTACCTTGTAGATATTTTATCAGTTTCTTTCACTTAGGAAATCACTGAAATATATACTTTGATTAATATATACTTTGATTATACACTTGGCTATACAAACAGGCAAAAGTATGATGATGTGTAGGCATATTAAATTGGATAAAACTAAAAGCAAATTAGATACTTTAAAACTGAGACAAATTTATGTTGTTAAATCAAATAATATGTTTGTGTATAAATATAATTGGATATAAATTGTGTTGATCCTGGAATGTCGTTAGGGTAGTACTTCTCTGACAATAAAAAATATATTTTTATTTCAAATATATTTTTAAAGCTTAAAACAATTGTATTCTCTTTATAGTATTTTGTTTGATGTAAAGACATTTGCAGCACAGAAAGAGGTTATATAGCTTCTGGGTTTGCTAATGTCCATCTTAGTGCCTGTGTGTAAACCTTTTTTTTTCCTCCTCCATCTAGGGCATTTTGGGAGTGTTTACCATGGAACTTACATAGATTCATCCCAGAGAGAGATTCGGTGTGCTGTTAAATCCTTAAACCGTAAGTAATTCCTCTTCCTTCTATGAAACAAGTGGCTCTGTTTATTAACCTGGAAAAGAAATCAAGGGATCAGAGGCTCATGGTAGAATAAAGAAGAATTTTTGTAGCTCAAGGTCGAAATAAGGGCTCTTTGGTGTTCTTGAGCTTGGTTGTTTTCTTGCAGGTGTTTCATTATCAAACTAGGTAATATCATCAGTGCTACAATGATGTTATCTAGTCTGGGTAATGAAACCCCTGCAAGAAATCAACCAAGCTCAGAGAGCACTAAGGACCCCCGCTCATGATAAGAGTTTGAAACACAATAATGTCTTGTTTCAAAAAAATAGTGTTCCATAATCTATAAGGAGTCAGTTTGGTTTAGTGTTTTAAGGCATAAAACTAGAAAGCAGGAGACCATGAATTCTTGTTCCCCCCCCCCAGGTTTTTGCCAAGAATTAACTTGAATACATACATACATGCATATGTACATGCACACATTCATGCATATTATAAAAGGACAGTCTCTTCCACCTTGGCATATACAACTTCTGTGGACATCAGTGCTGTCCTGCTTGATCGCTTATTTTATCCTGTGAGAAGTCTGTGCCACTTCACGGAGCAAAGAGGCGTCACGTACCTGGCGCTAGACTAGAACTAGTGCAGATTCTGTATTAAAGGCAAAGATAAACCCTGAAATAACTTTTAAGGAGGCAGAGTGATGCTGGGGAGCATTGAGTTTCTCTGCATTCTTCTTAAGTTTGTTCTGTAACATAGTCCAAGGAGATGGTCATAGGGCCTTTTCCACTTCGTCTTGGCACTGTGCAAACATGCCAGTGTTAAATTAGTGTTTTCCCCTCCAGCCAGCAACAGTCAATGGCAGTTTAAGGGCTTGTCACACTTCTAGCTGCTGGCGGCAGTGTGCCCCCAAAAAGGGGGCAGGATGAGCCAGGTATTTATGGTCATTTTGGACTGCTGACTGCCTGCTTCTTCCCAACAGAGTTGGCCCTCTCGCTCTGTTCTTTTTCTTCTGGAGGAGGGAAACAGGCCACAGCTGCCAGCAGACTTCTGAACCAATAGCTAACTGAAAAGCATAGTATACCCACTCTCTTGTCTGCTCTGGTGTCCCCTTTTGTCTGCGTCAATCCAGTAGGTTTGACTATACCTACACTCAAAACAACAACACCAGGTAGCTCACCCCCAGTTCCAGGAAGGGGTACATTTAAAAGAACAAGGTCTGCCTGCTTCTTGTCTGATCGGTAGGTTTGGGGAGATGGTAGGTTTTGACAGAAACGTAACCCCGTGAGTCTAGCTATCTATCAAGGCATCTATCAAACCCAACAATCTTGTGATGTCTTGTCAGCTGAGCAAGGATAACAAAGCCAGAGAATGTAATCAGGGTTGCTTAACACTTCATGCATGCCCAAATCCAGAATCCACCATTTGAGTGCAAGCCAGAAGAGAATTTATAGGGGAAATTGACAATAGGGGAAATACATTTTGTTCTGACATATGGGCAGATGGATAGCACATTCACCAGGTCATGGCAAATGGCCCTTAATTTTAAAACTACTTAATCAGTAATTTTAGTGGCATCTTCTGCAACAGAGTTTTGTTGCCAGTTTGCAATGCCCTACCAATCAATGCTTTTGAATACAACTTGGAATAGGAGTGGGGACGTACCAATTCACTCGACTTTAAAATAATAAAAGTGAAATACAAATAAATAAATAAATAAATAAAATAAAAACTTCAGCTCACAGCTTAGTGTTTATAAGATAACACCATTAAAGTATTCTCTGGGGAAGCTCTTAAGAAGAGAAAGAACTAGTTCTAAACTGGGGGTTGGCCTAGGCTAGGGGTAGGCAACCTTGGCTCTTTTATGACTCGTGGACTTCAACTCCCAGAATTCCTGAGCCAGCATGGCTGGCTCAGGAATTCTGGGAGTTGAAGTCCACGAGTCATAAAAGAGCCAAGGTTGCCTACCCCTGGCCTAGGGAAATAAGAATTCTCTAATAATTGGAATTAAGCCTTAAATCACCACCAGGCAATCCATGGAGCCATTAGTTCTTTCAAACGTAAAAAGTGGAGATGACTATGAGCCAACCCAGTCCAGTATTATAATGTGTGCTTGTTTTTTTACTCTGGCAATATCTTCCATCCTTATTCACATTGGCAGACTTCCTCTACTTGATGGAAGTTAGAAAAGGCTGCTTACTGTGTCTCTCTCCTTCGCCTAAGAACAATATGCTGTTTTTCCCAATATGCTTGCAAGATCACTTCTCAGATACTTTTGCTCACAGTTTCACAATTCCTTAAGTCCCGGAGAGGAAAAAAACAGTGGCCATTGAGAATATTGCTCCAATCTCTTCATTTTTTTCCCTCTTAGGAATTACTGACTTGGAGGAAGTGGAAGAATTCCTGAAGGAAGGGATTCTGATGAAGAGCTTCCATCACCTCCATGTCCTTTCTCTCATTGGGATCACCTTGCCTAAGGAGGGTCTCCCTCTGGTGGTTCTACCTTATATGAAGCACGGAGATCTCCGACATTTTATCCGTTCGGAGCAGAGGGTACGTGGTGCCAGATCTTGGGATCCTTGTTTGAGCGACACTCAATGCCAGCCACTTTCCTGTTCCTGAATCATCCCTTGGTTTGGAGTTGCTTGTCTCTTCTTTGCAAAACAAAATTGTTTTTAGGGAGGAGCTTGCCCAGAGATGAGGAATTCAGCCCTTTCTTATCTCTTTCAGTTGTGGAGTGCTTATGTTTCATTTGTGACATACTCATCCATGTGCTCCTACACACTTTACAGGGCTTTCTGGTGAATCAGTGCAGGCTTTGCATATTCTTCCTGTTAAAACTTACCATACTGGTGCAAAGAGTGGGGCTGCCTGTTGGATGCAGCAGATAGAAGTCCTGCAGCATTGTAAGGCTTTGTAAGGTAAATCTTTTAAGTAAGGTTTCAGAAAGACACATAAAAGAAACTAACCTTCTTATCAGTGATACTTTCTGTTGATGAAACAAGAGGTGAGAACTCTGGGTTTTCCGAAGAGAGATTGTTTAGCTGTGGGTCTTTCTGCTGTCTCTGAGACAGGTAGAACAGCAGGAACATGAGCTGATGTCTAATGCAGTTTCCTCCTTCTAATCAGCACAGAACAAGTGGCTGAAAGATGCTGGCATCTTTCAGTCTCTCTTTTTCCTCTGGAGAAACACACAGAGGTAGCATTCTTACTGTTGGCAGGCTTCTCCTCTGCCTCCAGTCTATTGCAATTGTGGCTGTGGCAAGATTTATCTTATAAACATTTTCTCACAACATTATTTTTTAAAGAACTGTCCATATAAGCTTCACCTCATATTTTTATTTCAGCTGGACCTTGAAAAAGGAATAATCCCCAGCTCATCTCTTCTGCTCCTCATTTCATTCCTGTTGTAAACATACTGTGAAATATTAGGCAGTTGGCAGTTGCCACTTGTGATGTACTGCTGATCAGCTGAAAAATGCCTCCCCCTTGCTTGATGAAAATGGATATTTTGCCTTGCAGGTGGCTTTGAGCCGTAAGCACATCAGCCACCCTTTGCAGAGGAGTGCAACATTAAAAACCCAAATTTAGCTGATAACAAGAAGATTTATCCTCACTTTTCCTTGCAGCTATTATGTTTAAACCCAGGATCACATGAAAACATTGTTCCTGGGGAAAGGGCAATAGGTTAAGCACTGGACATGTTCTTTTGAGTGAGTATGTGCAAGACAGTGACCACTAGGGGGCCATGCAGGCACACTGTGAAAGAGAGGGTTGTAATCTATGGAGGAAATTTCAGATGGCTCTTCTGTACCCATCTCAATTCTGGGTGTTATATTATGCACATCCTATTCTTATCTTGCCAAGCAGTGAGCAAGTGTCTGCTTTGCCATGTGTGCACCGAGCAGAGAAGATTCCCCTGGCCCCAATTCTGTTGTTTATATTTATAGGCGTGGGCTCTTTGTCATCTTTCATATGTGAACGGGATACACTCAGTTTCTCAGCCAAATTTCTTAGAAAATTTGTCCAATATCTGAAGCAGCCTTGAAATTAACTTCAGCTGTGTTATCTTGTGGGAACCACAAGCAAGCAGCTCTGCTCTCTGGAGGTGCATAAACTTCAAAGCCAGATGGGAAAGGCATTGTGAGTTTCCTCAGTGTCAGACAGTTTTGTTTGTTTGTTTGTTTTCCATCAGAACCCCACTGTGAAGGATTTAATAGGTTTTGGGCTACAAGTGGCTCAGGGGATGGAGTATCTGGCCCAGAAGAAGTTTGTGCACAGAGATCTTGCAGCTAGAAACTGCATGTAAGTACAAACATGGGTGTATCTGCACAGAATAATAAAACATGGGGAATCGGGCAAGGACACGCAAGAGAGGTTGCCGAGGCTTGTTTGTGCTGTGGGCAGGTGCCTGTGTAAAAATATCCCTCCCCATATGACTAGCTATGGGAAAAGTCTGTCAGAAATACCTTTCAAACTAATTTGTTTCGATTCCTCCTTTGGGTCAATTGATTTTACCTTCAGAAAGTTATACCATTTATGCAAGATGCTCAGTCTTCTGACTTATCTTTCTGGTAAATAGAAAGTAAATTCTGTGAAGAGAGTTTGAAAAAACTGAGGATGTTTGGTCGGGGGATGGGGTGTGGGGAGAGGATGGCTTGCTTGTACTTTTCCAGTATCTGAGGAGGCACACTCATGAAAAAAGGTCAGGACCAATTTTCTTATACTCTTATGGAGCAATATACTCAATAATGGCAGATTAGGGAAACTTCCTGCAGTTTGACAGTGGAATCAGTGACCCACTATCACTAGACAGGCAGCTGGACTGAAAGGATTAAATGGGTCCTTAAAATCTACAATTTTATGATTTAAACAAGACACTGATCCATAAGTTAACCAAAGGTGTTTGGGCTACACGGTTTGTTAAGCTACAAAGCACAAGCTAAAGTTAAAATGAACCAAGTTTAGCTTGATGCATACATGCTAGAGTTTTAACAATGTGATTAAATAAATTGTACAAACAGCCATTGTCTGACTGCATATAATAGACTAAAGCCTAAGTCTGGGGTAGGAGATACAATTGCCATGTTCACGTGGTATGCTATATCCAAGCAATAATCTCTGCTAGGGCGACAGCCTGGTTTTGTCGCTTGCTTAGCCAGGGTGCATCTGGAATTCCTTAATGCTGCCAAATAAGATGAGTTCACATGACTGTTGCATTGTTCCTAATCCCAGTCTCCTTTTTTATCCAGGCTTGATGAGACTTATACAGTGAAAGTGGCAGACTTTGGGCTGGCCAGAGATATCTTTGACAAGGAATATTACAGCATCCGGCAACACCGCAGGGCAAAGCTGCCTGTCAAATGGATGGCCCTTGAGAGCCTGAAAATTCAAAAATTTACCACCAAGTCAGATGTAGTAAGTGCAAGCAAGGGCACCCGATGGCCAGGATGTTAAAACATTGCCCCCGGTTGTTGTTGTTCTGGCCACATTGTCTGCATTCACAGGAAACAATAACCACAAATTAGCCAACCCCATGTTTAGCGTGAACTCAGATGTTATAAATAGATTTTGGTTCGTAGCGTTGTTCAGCCCACAGAATTGGCTTAATTGGATATGTCTTGATTTGTTAGTGTTGTGGCAACACAGCCCCAATTTTATGTGAGGGATATGCAAAAAAGGCCATTATGAAAGCACCTGCTAAGATTGTGTAAGCTTTCCTAGCACTCATTTCTTAGTGTGAGAATCCAATTTATGCTAGTCTCGGAAAAACAGGCATATGCAGCAGAGTCCCTTTGCAGAGAAGGAGCAGTCTGGTTGAAGATTTCATCTGCCCTAGTGACTGCTTGTGTTTTCTTTGTGTCCCATTATATTGACATTTGTACTTTCTCCATTGCTCTGTTCTGCTGTCTTACCAGTGGTCCTTCGGGGTCCTCATGTGGGAACTGATGACACGAGGGGCTTCTCCATATCCTGAGGTGGATCCCTATGATATTACCTGCTACCTATTGCAAGGAAGAAGGTTGCCCCAGCCTGAGTACTGCCCAGATTCTCTGTAAGTATTCAATTGGACCCTTTTGCTAGCTTAGTTAAGGGGACAACTGTGAAAGAGATGAAGCTGTATGGGAAGTACCAGAAAAGGTCTTCTGATTCCTGAACTTTAACTGATGAACTAATTTGTAAATTTCAATGAAGCATTGCAATTCATTAACTAAAAAAAAGAAAGCACAATGGGAAAGTTAATTTGTTTTCCACTCTTAGTTCTTTGAAACTTGTGTTCTTATTACAGTTTTCCCCAAACTATTAACCTACTGACGCACCTGTGCGGTATCTCTTAAATTCCAGTCACATCTTAAGGGGCTAATTTAAGAAAAGCTGCAGTATTCCATGGAATTCTTATGATCATCAGGATCTGTTGCACTCCCTGTTATAATCTGTTGGTTCCATTTTCCATATTTTCCAGTGCCAGCATTTCCCATTTGGCTTCAGCATAGCATCCTTATGCTTCTACCTCCATTTGCCTTATATTCACCTGCTGTGTTGTGGCTTTTTAGAACAGTGATATATTAAACCTCTGACCAGGATCCTGTAGGAGTGAAAAGAGATAAGACTAGAGTGCAGAACTGAGGAGAGTTTCTGCCTCTAGTTATTGTGAGAATATCAATGACATAGATCCTGGTGTACATGGTTACAGCATCCTGAGATGTGAAGATAGAGGGGCAGGGTTGGTATTTTCACAGCTCTAATTAACTCTGTTTATTTTGGACAGGTATACTATAATGCTTAACTGCTGGACACCAAATCCTGAGGAGCGGCCAACTTTTTCCAGCCTGATCAAAGAAGTGGAGCATATTGTAGCCTGTCTAAAGGGAGACCATTACATTAACCTCAACGTCACTTATGTCAATCTTGATCACGGCCATCCCTTTCCCCCTTTAATCAGTCGGGAAGAAGAATTTGATTCCAATGGATTGAGTGAGGAAGAGGATGCTTCTGTGTGTTAAGTTAGGGGTCCCCAACCTGCAAGCCGCGGCCTGGTACTGATCCATGGCCTGTTGGCCACCAGGCCATGGAAATGGCTGGCAAGTGTGCGCAAGTGTGCACGCACCCTCCCCACTCATGCTAGTGCTGACGTGCGGGTTCTAACGGCCCCATGTGTGTGGGTGCTAGTGGCCCATTTGTGCATGCGCACGGGTGCCATGCCACCACCAGCGCTGCCGTAGGTGTACGTGGCCCACTTGCGAATGTGTGTGGGCGCTAGTGCCACCACCGTGTGCGTGCCCGTTTTCCACATGCACACGCGAACATTTCCCTGTTTTTCCCTTTCCCTCCAGGCCGCCAACCCGGAAAGGTTGGGGAGCTCTGTGTTAAGTGATACCTCACACAGGCCAGGGATGCATGTTGCTGGGTTAAGCATGATACTTCATAGGTTTTGACTGTTCAGGCTTTGGAACGTCTGGATAAATTTTGCTCATCCTGTGAGTTCATGAAAGCTGTAAACTGAGGACTTCTGTGACCTGAATTCTGTGCTGAGAAAAGGTGGAAATAAATTCATTCCTTCTGTAAAAGGTAGGGCAGGTTCCCTACAGCTTTAAGAAAGAGATACTTTCAGAATACTTGGTGATTTGTGTGTGGGAATATGTTTTTACTGTGAAGTAATTTAATGTGGCAGCCTGTGGCTGCATCTGTATATAGAGAAAAATAAATTTACTGTTATGAATTCCTATCAGACAGTTTTATGCAACGTTCTCTTTAGAGTCACTATCATATAATATTAAGAATATTTTAGTCATGATTTGTTAAATAAGTCACAGTCGCTTCCTTTACATGTAGCACAACCTAATGGGTAGGTTCACAGATTGCATTAACTTAAAAAAAAGTTATATTATGCTGCTTAATACCTTTCCTGTTATGATAAACCCCATTGTTCCAATTTTATAACATTGAAGAATTGTTCCAGGAACATCATCTCAGCCTTCTTTCAAAGCCTGGCCTCACATCTTGTGTTAAGGCATAACACAGTTTCGATGTGGCATGTTCTTCACCACTGTTCATAAATCTTCTGTTAACTGTCAAAAATGGTGGAGGAGCAGAAAAAAATATCCCATGGGAAGCATCCTTGAAGAAGAACAAGCCTTTTAAGTTTGTGGTAACCTTGAAAAAAACATGGCGTTCAGAGTTGGAAGATGGTGGCAGAAGGATTGTCTGTTAGATGACGGTGCTGTCAAAAAGTGAAAAATCAGAAAAGAGCTCCAGGTGCATTAGAAGGAAACAACAAAAGAAAAATGTGAACTGAAAGTACAATTGGATTAGACAGGAAAGGGAGGTTAGGAAAGGTGGCTGTGGGCAAATGGATGGAGAGGGAAATTTTAAAAAAAGAGAAAACTGGCAGGACTAAGAGCTGCCTGGTGTCACCGGAGGAGAAGTCTACCTGATTTGTTCCCAGAAAGTGTAGGAAGAGGCGGTGGAGCTGTGACAGAGCAGGCAACTCCCTCAGAAGCGGTGGCTTCTCCCCAGGAAGTAGTAGCATGTTGGTGGATGGGAAGGGTATGGCTGGTGGGGACTGAAGGTCTGTTCTTGCAGGCTACAGTCTCCAGATGTGGTGTACATGGGATGTTGAGGATACTGAGTGATAAAATGCTTGGGAGGGGGTTGAGGTAATTCCGTTGAGGATGGTGAAGTCAGGGCATGTTGAATGTCTTGCAGGCATGGGGGGGGCACGAGGTGGACAGGTAGAAGAGAAGGTCCATGGTTTCATCCCAGGGCCTGAGTAGATAGATCACTGGGTACCTTGAACTTGGGATGCTGTTGATAAATTGGGTACAGAAGCTGACTCATCCAACTGGAAGAATGTGCAAACTTGTATTACTGAATATTTACTGCTAAAATCTGATGCGGCAATGAGCAGAATGTTAGTTGCAAGTCCTTTAGCAGTTCAACAAGGCAGGATGGCGGTGGTGCTGTGATCATTTGGGACAATTAAACATTGATTATTCTAGGGTTGGCTGAGATGAGACTGGATCCTCGACTTATGCCCACAATTCAGCCCACAATATGGGTCAGAAGTCATCGCAGTCATTAAGTGGGGCATCCACATGACTGTCTCATTCAATGACTGGAATCCTAGTTTCCCCCGTTGTGGTCATTAAGTGAACATTCAGGAATGCTTCATGGGGTGGGGTGGGGCCGAGGAGAACCAGCATCCATTGCCACACAGGTCTTCCTCTCTACTCACCACTGCTGGGAGACTTGGCTTGAGATATTTCTGAAGGTAGAAAGAGCCTTAAAACATTGCAAGATGAGCACCAGCCCACATTGTGTTGGCTAGCTTTCTGGAGTAGCTTCACCTCACATCAACTGGGCTTGCTGCACAGAAAGGGAAGGTAAGTGGATCCACATGGATGGGTGGGAAGAAGGCCCAAGCCTTCCAGGAGATTGTTGGGGTGGGAGAAGTCCGCACCCTGGGCCTACCAGTTGAGACCTCTCAGTCCTTGGTGAGTTTCCACATGCCAGTGGCCCTAGCTAGATGAGTCCTCCTAGCTGAAATGGGGGAGACTTGCAGTGCTTCTGCAATCAGCCATAAGGGCACACTGCCAAGCACCTGAATTTTTGACCTGTGATCTCAGGGACACTGCAATGGTTGGGAGGGGTTGTATATGCCCCCTCGTTGAGTGCCTTCGTAATTTAGAATGCTCACTGAGCGAACAGTGATAAGTCAAAGGCTACATGTAGATCCCAAAGGCCACGAATTGTTCCACTTGCAACTGTCCCACTAGCATAAAATGATAGCATTAAAAGGGGCCATTTAGGCTCTTGAGTTCAATTTGCTGGTCAGTGGAATAATTTAAAGTATTCCTAATAAATGGCTGTCTAATTTCCACTTGAATGCATCTTGTGAAAAAGAGACCAGCCAACAATTTCTAGGTAATTGGTTTCACTGATAACTGTTTTTACTGTTAGAAAGCTTTTTCTAACATTCAAGCAAAATCTGCCTTCCTGTAACTTGAATTAATTAGTGTTAAGCCTCAACTTAATGGATCTTGGTTTAGGGGACTTTGAATTTAATGGTCAAAATATGTTGGATCCAAAATTAGTTTGAATTTCAGACAATAACTAGGTAAAGTCATTTCACAAATCAGTCAAATGTTCACTGTTCTCTCCACTGAATAGATATGAACTGTTATCAGTGAAGCTGATTTTTCCCATGAATATTTGGGATTTTTTAAACAAATACCATTTGCCATTTAACAGATTATTTCCTTTAATTGGGCATTCATGTTTACCATACCCTGGACTTCGAAGCATTATGGAACAGATCTTGTTATTTCTTCTACCTCTTTATCGAAATTATTTTTAAAAATGTTTAATTACACAGGACTTTGGACTGTATTTTGTGGCAGTCTACTTGATATTTCACCCCAGTTTGATGTGGAGCCATTGATGAACTTTTGAATACAGTTGTGAATCCACTTAATTAACATGCCATCTGGCTTCATGAAACTGGATTGTTGTTGGAAGGCTTTGCAAAGGCTTTGCTAAAAGCAAGATACATTATGTCTTCTAGCATCTTCAACTTTCATTCAGGAAATTATCCAATCAAAAATTGGGATAAGGTTACGATGGCAAGATTTGAAAATACATATTGTAATTCCAGGAATCGCAGGGTTATTTTTAAGGTGCTATGGCTTGATGACTTTATAGTATGCTCTAAAAAATCCTCAGATATTGTTACTAGGCTTGGTAGTTCTATGAGTTTTCTTTGTTCTCCTTGAAGGTAAATAAACTTGCTCTCCCCCGGTCCTCTGGAACTTCACCCTTTGTCCAGCTTTCTCAAAAGGCTAAGGTTTGGTCCGACCATCAGCTAATTCCTCCAGTATGCTAGGATGCAGTTTATCTCTTTTTGGAAAAGTAAGCATTTAAAATAAGAAATATATTCTCTTACCATCACCTCAACCCTTAATCTTGTCCTTGCGCTCTGCTTTTCATAAATGCTTGATGGGAAAAAAAACCCCTGCCTAAATTAGGGAAACTTGAGCTCAAGTAGGAATTGCCATTTCTTTGTTGCCATTTCTTTGCCATCATATATTCAGCAACTTGTATTCTAACTCATACATTGAGTAACTTGTTTTCCTTGTGTTTTGAGCACATCTGAAACAAACTTTATCCTTTTTTCAACCTCAGTTTAATCTAAACTTCAGTCTTTTTTTTTTTACTATCTGCAGAGTTATACCTTGCCTGCATGTACTCTTCTTTGTTGGCTTGTTCCTTTTTCTTCCTATCCTATAGATCTGGTTTTGCTTTCATGTCTTCACTAAATGTTTTGTGTTATTACCTTCTCATTCTCTTTCTCTTTCTCATTTGAATTTGAATTGTTTGCAGTTGCACCTTGAGTATCTTTTTAGGAACTCCCATATGTCTTGAGCACCACTTTCTATTAACTTTTCCTGCCATGGAATCTTATTCATTATTGCTAATTTATTAAACTGTTCCAAGTTAACTAATTTATTAAACTGTTCCGACTGTAATAAATTCAGCTTTTTTGAAGCCAACACATGTTTGATTTTGCCCAGTGTTGGTGTCCTTAAAATCAGGAACTCCCTCATTACATGATCACTTTCTTTATTGGTTAATCTTGAGCCATGGGAATACTGTATCATATTCTATCCTCTCAAGGGGAAAGTTGTCAGCAAAAGAAGTCAGAAATTTCTTGCAAGAATCCTGCTTGACACAATTTGTCCCTAGCAGACGTTGGAGGTAATTAAAATCTCTCATCAGTACTATTTGAAAGATGTACAGTTTGCTTCTGAACAGCTTCATCCACATCTCCTTGGCTGATTGGTGTATGACATTAGAGATTGGTAATAATATTGCTTTCATTTACATGAAAGCTGGGACATGACCACTGAAGTAAAGACAAGGATAGAGAAAGCTGGAACAGCATTCTTCAAAAAGAAAAAGGTCTTCTGCAGTCACGACATAAGCCTAAGACTGAAAATCAGGCTTGTCAGATGCTATAT